GGGGGGAGGGGGGGATTGGCTTACAACAAGCTCAAATGAAAAATAAAGCCAACCTCGCTAGCCAGGCTTAGAGGTTGTACCAAAACACTCACATAGTGTGGGCTAGGGTCTTAACGGGGAAGCACTGCAGTGAAAGGTAGAGTAGGGCAAAAGAAGACTAGGACTTGGTAGTGTATTCAAGAGGGATGGAAGGTATGCATTAAAGCTTCTAGATGGATAGTCCATAAAGGGAATAAAGGCCTCATTTGTTTTTTTTTAAAGATTAAGACGTTTGAATTTGAATACAAGTCTGAATAATAATATGTGTATTAAGATTAAGACATCTAAATCTGAATACACATCTTAAAGTTAAGATGTGTATTAAGATCTGAATACTAAATGATTAAGATTATTTATTTTTTAACATCTAAATATATAAAATTTACGTTTATTTGAAAATTAATAAACATAAAATTCAAATAAAATACTAATTAATCTAATATTCCATCACTAAAATATATAGCTTTTTAAAATATGATAGTTCTTGATAGTGATGGCTAACAGTAGTGCTTGTAAATGCCGACTAAAAGCGGTGTTTGGTGGTATATTTGGTTGATGGTGATAGTTTAGGGTAGTAGCTAGTGGTGATTGGTAGTGGTAGCTATTATGATTGAGGATGGTGGTGGTGGGTGGTGATAGTTAATAATGGTGGGTGGTGATGGTGGTAGTTGTGATAGAGGAAGATGGTGGTGGGGGTGGTAATTTATAATGATGGGCAGTGCCAGCTATGGTTATTGATGAAGATGGGATGATTAGTTGTGGTAGTTGAGGTGGATGAGTATTGGTTGTCGTTGAGAATGATGGTGGTGGGAGTGGTGGGGATGGTGGGTGGTGGTAGTCGACAATGGTGGTGGTTATGCTTGAGGATTATGGTGGTGATGGTTGAGTATGGTGGTGGTTGATAATGGTAGGCAGTGACGACACTTAATAATGAATATGGATAATAGCATCTTAATGAAATTAAGTATTTGTTATAGATCGTAATGATACATACCTATTCAGACCCATTAAGTGGCTGTGAAGTAAAAAAACAAACACAAAATTAAGATTCATACTTTAAAAAGAAACGCACTTAATGTCTAAGATCTGAATGATTAAGATTCAGACCTACATTAAATGCAAATAAATGAGGCCAAAGTCAACTTCCTAGTTGATAAATTGGATCCCCAATATGCAACCACTAAGCTACATTCTACATGGCCCTTGGCATAACAATGATCTAACTTTAAAGATTAAATCCATTCACTCAAATGGGGAATGGAACCTCAATGCCATACAATACCCCATTCCCATGGATATAACCAATGTTATTTAGTCGACCTTCATCCCTACTACTATCAACACTGATGAAAATCTGGAACCTCACTAATAATGGGATTTTCAGCACAAAATCAGCCTACTACCTCATTAACTCTCAATTGGACCATAATAATGGTCACGATGACCACTTTAGTTGGATTTGGAAACTCAAAGTTTCAAATAAAATTAAAATGTTTACATGGCTAGTGTAACACAACAAGTTGCCAACTGGAAAATATCTAAGCAACATTGGCTTAAATGTCAGTCCCACATTTTCTTTGAATGCATCAATGCAAAACTTTCTGGTTGAAACTTGGGAACAAACCTGGAATAAGGTTAAAAGCATATCTTTCAATGACTCAATTGACTGGAAATTTCTTCTTCTGGAGCATCTGGCTCACTAGGAACAACATTTTTTTGGGGAAAAAAATAAGAGAAACTACATCCCTATTGACAAAATAATTGCTAGAGCTACATAATACTACCATATTGCAGTGCATCACAGTGATAGAAAAAACACAACTACAATCTATATCAAATGGGATCCCCCACCAAGTGGCTCATACAAACTCAACACTGACTGAGCTGCATGTCCAAAAGTAGGAGTAATGGGGTTTGGGGGAGTTTTCAGAAACAATAGAGGGGACTGGGTATTAGGTTACATGAAGAGCATCTCACATACCACCAGTGTTGGGGCAGAACTACATGCCTGTTGGTACGGCCTAAAAATAGCTCTTGAACAAAAATTCATACCCCCTAGAGATTAACATTGATTATGTACAAATTACTAATATGATAAAAGAGGAAAATCTTCATTATAATTCTATTATTTTTTATTGCAGGTCATCAAGGAGCAACTGAGAAATCCAGTACTAGGACATAGTTTCAGGGTGCAAAACCAGGTAGCGGACCTCCTTGCAAAAGAAGAAGCAAGAAAGGGAGTTTTGGGAATAACATAATTTTTGGCAATTCCTCCGATGTTTGTAAACAAGACAATGTGGGCAAACATCCTAGGAACTGTATTTGCAAGAAATGTTAAGGATTGTAATCCTAATGTAGTGTCAAACAATAACAATGAAACTAATGAGACCTTAGACTCTCAAACGATGTTGTAACCATTTTGAACCTCTTCGTGTATATATACACACACGAAGAGGAGTATCCAGTTCACCAAAAAACAAAAACAAATAACAATACTTATATCTACATACATTTTCACTATAATAACAAATTATCAATATTGAATTATAAAATAAATGTTTTCTTTCTTCTATTTTATCTAATGTACGACCACGAAATTTAAGAAATAAATACTTTTTAAAAGGCAAAATATATAGCTTATCCCCGGAACATAGAATCAAATCTCTACGACACACCTTCTGAGCACGGGCAATCTTTTACACACCTAACCTTTTCAAAATGTGTTTAACACACACCAATTTTTTTCTTGAACAATTTTTTATTTGGAGACTGCATCCACATGCCAATCAAATTGCGACACATGTCATCACTCAACTTTAAATAAATATATATCTAAAATAAACCTTAATTGATTAAACTTTTTCCAACAAAAGATTATGTTACCTTCGCCCCCCTCCCATCAACTTCCTCCTCCTCCACCGTCTACCCTCTTCTCCAAGCCCCCTTTCCATCGATTTCCACCTCTAAGGCTTTAAGCCCTCCCCCTTGTATACTTTAAAAACACGAGCAATAGCTAGTAACAAGAATTCAACAAATACTTTCAGATGAAGAAATTACAAAACTTTATTATAACTCAAGAACATCAAACTGCGTAATATTTGTTTAAACTCAAAGATTGAAGACATAAATGGCATGTCCTGAAGATCTTAGTTATGTGTTTAACTCAAACTACACTATTTTGTATAGAGAAGGTAAAGGCTTTCATGGCTACTATCAACAACTAGGTTAATTTGAGAAGAAAAAAAAGACAGGCTTCAATGGTGAATGTATGGTGTTTCTTGGCAGGTGGGTGTTAGTTAGGATGGTGGAGAAATTGCGGAGAAACGACGGTGGAAGGTGGGTGTTGGATTTGGCGGAGTATAGGCATTGAATTGGTTTTGGAAAATGAAAAAAAATAAAAAATAAAGAAAGAAAATAATTTTTTATTGTTCACGCGCCTTATTTTATTGGTAAAACACGCACTGGCCACGTCGGCAAGAAGGTATGTATTAGATAAACTTCAAATAGGTTGGGTGTGTAAAATGTTGTGCGTGATCAGAAAGTGTGTCATATGGATTTGACACTAAGTTTTGGGGACAAACTATGTATTTTGCCCTTTTTAAAACTTATGGTTTAAAACAAGTCATAAATATTTGTTTGATTATAAATCATCTTATTAATGGTAAAATAAAATTTTTTAAGTTAAATTATTTTTTAATATATAAAAATATTATTTTTATTGATTTGTTTTTTAAAAATGCATCACATTATTTTTCCGTTATTTTTTTCACAGTACGGGTTAAATGGTCTCCTTCTTCACAGTACGGGCAAGGGACAAAAGGCTGTCGTAGACCGCGAAGCACTAAAATATCAAGTTATCACTACAGTTCCCATTTATGCCGCGTATTGTGTGTGTGTGTGTGTGTAACAGAGTCGTTATTTTTCTGGTTCCGTCTCCTCGTCGGTGATCGGAGATCGGAGATCGGTGAGATTCTACAATGTTTAATTTCCTGAAAGGCGTCGTCAGCGGATCTGGAACAGGCCTCAAAGATCTGCCTTATAGTATCGGCGAACCTTATTCCTCTGCTTGGGGCTCTTGGGTTCACTACCGTGGCACCTCCAAGGTCGGATACACAGACATCATTTCGACGTAGTTTTGATTTATTTTCTGCTCCAAGTTGAAGTAATGGTTTAGCTTTTATGTTTTCAATTTGCTACGATGATATGTGTTGTTTATTGTTGATAGTACAGTCAAACCTGTCTAAAATGATATCATTTTCCGGACATTTTTTGGCTGCTATAGCGAAATGTTGTTATAGAAAACACATAATATAAACATTAACATTAAAAATCGGATCCAAAAATAACTTAGTTGTTATAGTGAAATGTTGATGTCAAGATGGTTGTTATAGAGAGGTTTGACAATATCTTTATATATTGGAGCGTGTGATGAGGACTCGTAAATGCACTGGGATTTAAATTTTGCTACATTGTAAGAGATCTTTTAAGTAGTACATGGAAGCTTACTACTAGTTCAATTTTACTACATTGTAAGAGATCTTTTAAGTAGTGGAGTTTTGATCTCATATTTTTTAACTCTTCACATTGAAGAGATTTTCACGTAAAAATTTGGTGTCTCTTGTGCGATTGATCTTTGCCATGCTATATTTATTGTTGGTGTGTGTACTGATAAATAAATGAACTTTCGGAGTAACTGAACCCCAAAAGCTAGCTCAAGCCCATCCCGTTAGACTCTGACACCACATCTGTAGCATGGATAATATAAAATGGGGGCCCATCATATGGCAAAATAATGATGAATTGGAATGTGTCTGGCTTTGATACAATAAAGAAATGGACCTCGAGCCTAACTCAACCGCAAAAGCTAACTCAAGAGGTGAGGATTGCTCAAGCCATATAAAGATATCTCCCATCCCATGAGAGTCCGATTTGGGACTTTGACATGTATTATGGCTGCCCATACCCGTTAGTGCTTGAGTTTGCTTGCTCCTCGTGATTCAAATAGATTGGCGAAGTTTAGGCTGGGAATTTTTTTCGTTGCTATCTTTACCGTGCATTTGTAGTGCTTGTTCTTCCTAACAGATCCAAAGCTCTTTCGTCTCGGACCATTTGCATGGATCTTCTTCCACTTCAGGTAGATATGGTTCTGTCGAATAAAAAAAAACCCACTTCCTGTGTCTTTGCCATAAAGAGGAATGCCCTTCGTGAAGAAAGCAGCCAATCGAGGGAATCGAGAAATGAAGTGGTCCAAGTATAGAAAAAGTTCATGAGAAAGGAAGCTATGATAAGGATACCAAGGGATCATCCTCTCAATAGGATTGAAAGAAAGAATTCTCGTAGGAAGAACTTAGATGGTTTCTTGAAGCATCCTTTACTTCGTTGTACACAGTAGCAGTTTGCCAAGTGGTAGAATGAGGACCATCGGATCGGGGTGTGAAGGCTATAACATAGAGTTGGAGGCCTTTTTGGGACATCCAGAGAAGCCATCCCATTCAAGAAGCCCCTACTCTCATATACTATTCGTCTTGGTGATAGAGGCTCAAGATGATGGATAGAGTTGTAGTACAACTGTAGAAGACTATTTGAAGGGCTTTACAGTCAGTAGCAGGCAGGATAGTTCAAGTCTCACACTTTTTTGATGAAGAAGTTCAAGTCTCACACTTACTATTTGCAAATGATAGTCTAGTGTTTTTTTGATAATGAATCTCAATTAACATATTTGAGACAAGTGCTACTGCGTTTGCAAATAGTTTGCACTTTGCAGACTAAAGATCAATTTAAATAAGTGTGAAATTATCCAGGTGGGAGAGACTCACAACATTAAGCATAGGCTGCATATCACAACTGTTCAATTGCAGTAGGTCACTTCCTATGACTGAGCTAAACTTGTCGCTAGGCATGTCATATAAATATTGCACATTTCATACAAAATTTCTCAATTCCTTGATTTCCTTATGGCCCATTTCATGCTTACTTAAATTTTCATAAATTTCCTATCATAAATAATTGAATGATGTGGTTTATGCAGTAGAATCCTTGCCATGGAACCACAAAATTAATCCTTATATGAACGGGATTGTGACTGTAATTTGCGGGATTCCATCTTAAACATTAAAATCGATAAACTGTAAGATGTATCATACACTTATTTAATGTAGACATCTTACCACTAGCTATGTGCCATTTTGGCCTTTTTTTCCCTTCAGTTTTCCAGTATGCAAATTAGTTGGTTGACATCAAGTAATTCATTTTGGCTTCTCTCTTCAAACAGGATGATGGGACTCCTGTGTCAATATTTGCTCTCTCAGGAAGTAACACAAATGATGGACATCTAGCTGCTGGACGAAACGGAGTAAAGAGACTTCGTACGGTAAGCTAATCATTGTTTGTAAATCAAGAGGTTGTAGTCAGAGTATTGCTTCTCATTTTTTAGCTTAAGGACATAGTTCGAACTAATTATTGGAGTCCTTCATGCTAACTTTTTCTTCTTTCGATATTTCAGGTTAGGCATCCAAATATTTTGTCATTTCTTCACAGCACTGAAGCTGAAAATTTTTGATGGTTCTACTACTAAGGTTATCATCTATATTGTTACTGAACCTGTCATGCCACTCTCGGAAAAGCTTAAGGAATTAGGATTAAAAGGTACCCAAAGGTATGAATTTACCAAGGCTCATTGACTTCTTAACATTCTATTCTTAAGAAGATTGATTACGTGACTTACTTGAATTACAATAATGGTAGCATGATGTAATTTTTGAGCAGCTGCTGTGTCAAAATGTATAATCTTCAACTTTTATTGCCTATAATATTTCATAAGCTTCCAGAGGTTCAACCTGGAATTAATGTGCTTTCCTATTTATTTTCCAGAATTTGGTATCTATAGTCCATTATAAGGCATCAATTTTATTTTCTGAAGAACAGCCCCAAGACTTCAGTTTAGCAGTAAGAGCGCATCACGTGATGTGTGGATTAGGGTGCAACAAGCAGACCTGCAATAAATCCGACCATCACTAAAGAACTCTCATAGATTAAAACAAATAGAAAACAACTTTTGGAAAGGCCATTAGCTGAGATCTAAGATTCCTCACGTATAATAAATGCTGTTTGTCAAACACTGCATCTTGTCAGAACTCAAATTGTTCTTATCCCAAAAAATGATAGTGTGCAGGACGACTAGTTCCTGCAAATCCAACATTGCTAACTCATTGACTTGAATCAACAACATCTTAATAAAAGCCCCCTTTGCTAGAACTCATATGGAGCTTTCTTCCAAATAAAGACTTTGTAATGTATACTTTAGAAATCCAAAATTAACAACTTACATACTAAACAAATGATTAACACTTGACCTGAAATACAACTTGGCTGCATAAATCAAAAATCAAATTCAGTAGGATGACAAACTTTTTGTCAACCATAGTACTTGCATTTGGTGATTTCAAGTCAAGCTGTTAGAGAAAATAACATGTAGCTAAGCATAAAGGGGAATTGACCAACATATTAACCAACAAATTCGCAAACCTCACTTGGCCACTCAAGCATTAATTACCAGCCGAGTTTCTTTATCTTAAATTTAAAAATTAACTGCACCCAAATGAGGACTTTTTTAAATCACCAATGTAATTTTTTTTGATAAGTTTAAGCACAATCAGGTAAGAAGAGCAAAATTGTTACTCCCTCCGGTCCATAATAAGTGACTTTTTAGCCTTTGGCACACCCCTTAAGAAAATACGAACTCCTAGAGAAAAAAAGACGTATTCACTAAATTACCTTTAATTAATTGTTACCTTGACACATTGGGATATGTAAATAAGGACAAATTTTGGAAAAATAGAATTAATTCCTTCTTGATTATGTAAAAGGATACTTATTTTGGACCAAAATAAAAAGACAAAAGGTTCACTTATTATGGACCGCAGGGAGTACCTGGTAGAATGTTTCCACTCCCGTCTGCCTAATTTCTGTCATTGTGGTTGTTCGCTAGAAGTCGTGTATCCTGGAATCAACTCTCTTTCAGGCATAGAAGGATTGTTTCAATATAAAATTGGAGATTAGACGTAGTTATTTAGTTCTCCTCACTCCCCCCAAAATTGCTTCTTTCAGGAAAGGGCATCTCTTTACCATGTCATATCATGTTGATGAGTTGATCTATCTTGTTCTTGTTCTGCTTATTTTCCTTTGAAGGGACACTTTGAAAGGGTGGGTACACAATGTTGGTTTTGAAAAACATAATTCTAGTATTTCACGACCAGAATCTTGCCAAATAATTAAACCATTGTTGCAAAATTTCAGCTCTTGAAGGCTGAAGCTACTAGACAACTAAGAAAATTGAGCTTAACATTACCTGGTCATCAGGAAAAAACCGATGCAAAATTGCAAGCTAAAATATATTAAAAAAAAGCTTCAGAAGAACCTTGCAATTCGAGGACTAGAAAGAGTTTTTTGAGCCAGAATTCTATGATTAACCTCTCCCTTCCACCGACTTACTCCACAAGAACTATCCCTTTCCCCAGAAAACCATCCATTATTTACTATCCACTTTGTGAACTATGTAGCATGAGTAAGGGAGATATTGGGCCTGGGCATGGCATAATAGTAATATGGTAGAAGAGACAAGATACGATGAGGCAATGACAAATTAAATATTCATTAAAAGTTCCAATAAATGTCATTCCCTCTATCTCAAATTGAATTACTGGGCACACGTTCCTTTTCAACTTGGCAATTCCTTGGTGTATCTAGATATTACATTAGCGTCCTGTATCTGAAGCTATGCTGTAGTTTTCAGAACTTGTGTTTTAATCTCTACCTTATTTGATGATGGCAGGGACGAGTATTATGCCTGGGGTTTGCATCGAATAGCCAAAGCTGTGAGCTTCTTAAATAACGATTGCAAACTTGTAAGTATGCTTTTGATTAAATTTCATTTGTTCCCCTTGTTGAAGGAGTGCATCTATGGGAGCTACTTCCCGAGGAAGTGAAAGTTCTGATATTAGGATAAAAATAGAATTTTGTAGCAGAGATTTGTTTATTGATGCTTCTTATGAATATCTAAATGGTTGAGCTATATTGATTATTCACGTTGTACATAGAGGTTATGACTCATAAGTTGGATTATTAGCTTCATTATACATTCCTTGATGCATCCAAATGCTGAAGAGCTCTTCAAGCTTGGGCCAAGCATACCTCATGAAGTCTGAAATATTATTCTTTCATCCGTGGTGAAAGCTTCATCTAATTAAACTAGAGGTTGACTTGGATCTGATCCTCTGGACATAGTGATTAGGAGAAATTAATTGTATATATATGATGTAGTTGTTACTTTTTTCGTACTGGTAGCTTTTGAGCTCATTTAATTAATCTTCTTCTTGCAAACTTTACCGGATCACTCGAATATTTGATGGATTATTTTGAGTTGCATTTTTACTAGTGCAGGTTCATGGAAATGTTTGTCTGGCTAGTGTTGTTGTTACGCAAACTCTGGATTGGAAGTTGCACGCCTTTGATGTACTTTCTGAGTTTGATGGACAAAATGAATCTTCTGTTGGACCAATGCTGGTAAACTATGATTCTGAATTAAACATTCTTTTCACTTTTTATGCCATACCAAACCTCGTCTTTAACTCTGAATCACAGGGTGGGTAGCTACAGATTTTTTATTTGATCTTTGTAGATAGCATTCAAAGAAAAGATAGGAAAAATAGAAACGTAATATCTGTTTCTTCGAGCGTACAACATGATGAACTAATTATCCTTGAAAGTTTTTCTTTTAATTCCTCTTTTAGCAGAAGAACTGTATTTTCCTTCAGAGGATTTATATAGTCGAGTCAACAGATTTGGGATAGAAGTGCAGTTGATTGATTGGTTGATGCTATTCTCCAGTATCTCATGCTTCACTGTTGTTTTCATTTTTTCCTTCGTCACACAGCAATACAAGTTCATTGTTTGTGTTTATTTGTGTGCAGCAATATGATTGGCTTATTGGTGCACAATACAAATCCCAGGAACTGCTGAAGTCTGACTGGACGACAATCAGAAAATCTCCACCTTGGGCTACAGATTCTTGGGGTTTAGGTAAGTATTTTCTGATTAATTGTCATTATTATTGAATGGTAATAGAATGATAAGACTAAAAAGTTTTGGCTCTCTATTTTCTGAGGTTTTACTTTTCTGATATTGGAATATAGGTTGCAGTTAATCAGTTATGGACCTTACCATGTTACCAAGAGTGTAGAAAAAACTACAATGCTTTAACGTTCAACATTTCCTCGGCTAATGAAATGATTGCTTCTGCTGTACCTCCTTTCTTAGATATAGTCATTGTTATGATGCTTGACTATTTATTATGGAGTCACCATTTTCTGGATGCAAAATGGACATGAGAGCTTTTTGCTTATCTATCAAATGCTCTAGAGTTCTTAAATGTTCTTTTTCACCTGCAAATTAATCTTTTGATGCTGTGGAATTGCTAGGCTGTCTTATCTATGAACTGTTTTCTGGTACCAAGTTGAGCAAAACAGAGGAGCTGCGCAACACTGCTTCTATTCCAAAGGTATACTGCAAATTCATTGATTGATTTGCTTCTCTTTATAACCTGTCCGGTTATACTCTTCTTTTCGTCCAGTGCGTTTTGAAAAATTCATTTCATTTGCTATTGGCTTATTTTCCTGTCTCACAGTCTCTACTTCCAGATTATCAGCGTCTCTTGAGCTCTATGCCTGCTCGCAGGTTGAATTCATCAAAGCTTCTCGAAAATAATGGTAATATTTTTTCTTCGATTTTATTTTTTGTATCTTATTTATGTTCTCAAGCTGTCCAAGCTCCGTACATCATATGACTAATACTTTTCTCCTATTCTACTGTTAAACTGTTGTTTTCTCATTGAATTTAGTGATTGCGGGTATTAATTTCAATAAGTTCTAAGTCATTACTCATCTAGTAGCAGGTATGAGCTCAATGTATGTTTGAAAATGCATTTATCACCATCTGCCTGTGGTCCATGTTTCAATCCAAGGACTCAATGCTGATTTGGTTTTACTCTCCACATATAGCTAACCATTACTCATCTAGGATAATTCAGACAGCTTTTTAAAGCTGATCTATTAATGTGGTTTTTGCACTATTTTACGATTTTCTTATTCTTCCTTATCTTCCTACAACCCATGAACAAGAACAGGTCATTTTCTCTTGTTTCTTTTATGAACCAGTTTTTGTTGTTGTGACATATTCGAGTAAAAGAATGATTGCGGGATTCTGTAACACGCCAATCATGACAGTCTTAGCCTCCAATTGATCTCTACTCCATCGAAGATAATCATGTCAATTTTCTGTATTTTGCTTTTGTCATTGTTGGTTTAGTCTAATTTGGTATATTTACCCCTCACAATGGCTTTGCCTTCTATAACTTTATCTTACACCTGGTTGCATGCTAGTTTATTAATTTATATTGATGCCCCTCTTGCTTGGTGAATCAGGATGAGTCAAACAGGTAGCCTCTTGGCAGAACTAAATGAAAGCTGAATTACAACTTAGACATTCGTGTTTATATATACTAGCTTTAGAGTAAGTGTGTTGCACGTGCTAATAAACTAAAAATTACATACAAGAAGAATAAATTATGTAAAATAAAAATGGGCATTAAAATTGATGCGATATTCATTTTATTGTATTTTAAAAACGACAACAATAATGTTGTTATATTGACTCGTTTATTGAATTTAAAATAATTAAATATCTTTTAA